CTATGTGGGATGGAATTGTATTTACATTAGTAATGATCTCAGGCTTCCAGCAAGTAAGCAATTTATTTTCTTTGCATTGAATTCATTTTGTGAGAATGAGAACTTTGAAGATCATGGTATAGTATTCCAGAACCGAAACATTTTATTTTCTGTGTTCCTTTGTTATAAATTGTGGTTTCAATATTAGCCAAAGAAAAAAATGAAAATAATTCGTCCTTAGACATGTACAGTTTAGTAAGATTGCCGCAAAATTATCCATATTGATCAGCTGGTCCCATCAACACGGGTATGCAGCTAACCTATAGGTCGTTTTGGAAGCAATTTAAACTTGAAGTCTATATAATAGCAACTGCAAACTGTTAAGTAAACTAGGCTGAACAAATCAATACTACATGTCTACAATTTCTCAGTGAGCAAGGCAGAAATGAATCATCTGTCATTCAGGTAAAGATCAATGAAAAACAGACACTAGAAGTCCACCAACGTCTATCTCAGCAACCGCCTTTTTCTTAAGAATTGACAAGCACGAAAACATTAGCAATCAAAGCACAAGATGAAAAACATAACCAGAGTATAGCATCTCATAGCCCAGATACACAGTGACACAGAATGATGATAATAATACTAGTTCAAATCACAATAATAAAGACATTACTGGTCATTCAGAATATCCCAGTCTTGACAAAGCTCAAACTCAATTCATCCTATACAAAACACTAAGAACCAGTAAGTCATACTAAAGAAAAATCCAGACACAAGATGACAAAAACAATGTCGACAACATTACAGGAGACTGAAAAAAAGGGGCACATCAGAGAAGCAGTATATACATTGGATGTTTATTCAGTGATATTCTGCCTTTAACATATGAATCATAACCCTTATTTTTAGCAATCTCAATATCGGTTGAAGAAAACTCTGTCCACGTGTGCATCTTCTCCAATCTGGAGAGATGAAACAGCCTGTGCTGCAATAAGGCCTGCAGAGATATCGTCATTGCTCCATGGTCCATCATCCAAATATGGCATGTGGAAGTTTTTCTCAAGTGGATATGATGAAAAGGGCTGATTGATATCTCCAAAGTGATTGCACTCGCACTCTTGTCCATAAGATCCCGGAAACCAGCCAAAACTCTCAAAGGAGCACTTATTTAGGCTCTGATGCGACAGAGCAGATTTGTCCATAAAAAGCCCAATATTCGCAGTATGGTGCCAACCACCAAAGTCTTCCTCTTTCTTCAAAACAATTGTAGGCGTGTCATTGGAGTCTTCTCCAAGTAAAACATGGAGAGCAACTGCTTCAGCAATTGCAGCACCCTCTTTATCGAGTCTCTGTTGCTCTTCATTTTTCAGCTGTTTCTTCTTCTCAAGTTCAGATCGAATTGCTGCAGAAGTCGCCAAGGCTTTCTCCAATCTCCTCCTTTTTTTCTCTGCCTGCTTCATGCGATCCAACTCATCCTTCACCTGCTTCTTTTTTGCCTTTTTCACATGGGGGGTTTTCGCTGACTCCATCTCCGACCTTTTTAACTCCAATTAATCTCAACTATAGTATGTTAGTAAGATTATCTTTCCTGAAATAATAACTATTTTACGAAGTATACATTTACCCTCTAACAATCTCTCTTTTTATTTAAACATTTTGAGAGACCTGTTTTATCTACCTTTTTTTCTCCTCTTTGCTATTATATTATTTTCCTTATATGTTTCCTATCAGCTGTGGAACTATACTGAATTCTGAGGCAAGGTCTACTACACCCACTCAGGACTGTAATTATACCTTATCTTACGAACAAAACAACCCCAAACTGAGACAACAGGGGAAAGAAGAAGACCAAACTGGTAAGTTCTGAATGATTCATTCCTTCGCATCATTGTCCTCAGTTCACCCATCTGTGTGTGCCAGGGATTTATACAATTTGAATTCACATATGACAGCAGTCAGTTCCAGAAGAAGTTACATGACCACCAAGCTGTAGTTATAAACACAAAAACTAAGTCAGGAATCAGGATCATGAGCAGCATGGACTTATCACACATATTGCATATACACAAGAACACGCAAAAACTCTTCAATATTGACCATTAACAATTTTTCCACCAAAGTCGAGTTGGAAGAGGTCATCAAGTGTCTTACAAACTCGTCCAAAACTCATTAGTCCATACAAAAGCACGCGCAAATACTCTTAATAATTGACATTAACACATGAAATCAGTATGAATCCCCCCCTACCCTCCCACCCCACCCCACACCCCCCCCCCCCCAAAACAACCAAAGAAAAAAAGTCCAAGCTGTATTATTTACTCTATAACCAATCCCAATAGCATAATTCCTTGATTCCTTCCAACCATTTATCCATCAAAGCCAAGTTGGAAGGTCATCAAGTGTCTGACAAACTTGTCCAAAACTCGATCAAGCACTAGTCTAATACTCTAATGTATCATGATCGTATCCAAGCAAACTAAACCTTAAGACCCAATCGCATTACACATCCGAAAGTTCATCAACCCAATTCAAAGTTAAATCCCCAGCTAAACAAATTGGACCACTAAATTGAAGCAATTAAGTACTATAGTTCCAATACTGAAGATTTATAATTCATAAAAAACATTCATAATAAAGTAATAAGCACTCTGTCTAATATATATATCAAATTCAATGGAAATTTAGCTTGGATCAAACAAAATAAGAGAAATAAACATTTCTAATTACAGATAACAATCCCAAGATTAGTAACGAGTCAAACTTAACAAACATATACCTAGAAAAGCTAAAATTATAGGTATAAAATTGATTCCAACAAAATAATCCCAAAATTATCATTAAAAAAGGGGGAAAAAGATCTACGACCCAAAATTTTTTACATAAAACCCTCAAATCCGACGAAATCACAACACAAAAATCGAGATCCAACACACCCAAATGAAATTATGCACAATCACAGTGTGCTGGATCAATAATTTCATGAAATATCAAGAAATCAAACAAACCGACAATCAAAATCGAAAAATTATTTTAAAAATTCCAAATTTTAATACAATTTAATTAATCAATACCTGGTTAAATCCAAGATTAAGCCCAAATGATACGAATCCTAGTCCTATGCATACGATTAAGAGGAAGAGAGTTTCAAGAGATCGAAAAAAACAAGAAAGAAAAGAGAGAGAGAGAAAACGATGGGAAAGAAAAAAGGAAGAAAAGAGGAAAAAAGAGAGAAGGGAATTATGAACTGATTATCACAAAGATATTGAGGTGAGAGAAAATTACAAGGGTAATTTAGTCATTTCGATGGTTTTGGTTGGACAGGTTTCAAATTTTTATTGAGTATGATAGACATTAAATCTAGATAATTCTGACACGTGGGTTTTACTAGTGTGCCAACCAGTGTAGATTTGAAGGCAAGTTTGTGGGTCCTATTTTTTGATGTGTGGGTCAGAATTTGAGGAGATCTTGACCGTTGATTGGGAATGGCATGATGATCATCGGATTGGAAATTGACGGTCCAGATTTTAAGAGCTATGTAGTGTTGCGTAGAGTTGACTTCTAAGCATTTTCTGTGGGTGGTATAAAAAATCTAGTTGGATAGAGGACAAATTATAATGAAATTTGTTACTTGCATTATCTTAAAATTATCAAATTACAAATTAATTGAAAAGGTTAAGAGCAATACAAGTTGGGTATAAAAGTAGTTGTTGAAGTCTTAAAAGCGTAGATGATGAGTCAGTCTATTGCTATATTTAGTTTAAACATGGTTAGTTTTTTATTTATTTTTTCTGATTTATTGTGTTGCGAATTTTGATATACTAGCACATTTAAAATCAATCTATGGTTTTTATGTGTACAAGTATTGTTGATGGAACATGATTGCGATGATTATGATACTTAATTAAGATAATTTTTTTGTAAACATTATGATAGATAATCATTAAGGATACTAGATATCATATGGGATGTGAATGCTAATGTGGAATATAATTGTGGATGTTGATTTGTTACCTATGTCAATTCAACGATTGTTGCTATGGAAAAGAAAAAAAAAAGGCCAAAATTTCAAAGTTAATTTATATATTTAGTCTTTTAAGTCACTTGTAAGGAAATATAATTTAATAATTGTATAGGAAGTTTTTAACTGATTATAATTGATAAAAGAAAAAAAAAAAATTTGAGCTTAAGGTTGTTGGAAGAAGGAAACTAGCGACTTGGGTTGTTGAAAGGATGCCAACAATCTTGAATGAGAAGTTAAGTCACGGAGGACAATTTGGTTGATTATTTTTTTCCTTAGTTTATTTTTTTTGTCCATTTGATTTATTGCACTTCTAAAGCACATTAATGTTTTTAATTATATGTGTTGTAACTATACACATATTTAACAAGGTTTTAAATAACACGAATTTAACGAGGGTTTTATGTTCGTAAGTTTACATAACAAACATCCATAATAAAAAGTTAAGGTAGGTTTCACCTAAACATCCATAATAAAAAGTAAAGGGGTATTCCACGTAATGACACTCTTAAAGTTGTGCTCCCTCTTTATAAAAGTTACACAATGTAACAATCCGATACAATTAGTAACTACACGGTGACGTTGCTGTTATATATGGAGTAGCCGCTAACACCAGATAGATGAAGTTCAATCAAGGGAGAGTTTACAAAATACTTCCTCTGTCTCAATAATATTGCAACAAGGATGAAATTACACATCTCAAAACACATTTTATATGTTAAATATTTATAATATAAAAGAGTAAAAATTATAAAAAGTTGATATTGTATAAGCATTTTACGAGACAAATCTAACAAGATCACACATAAATATATATTTTAATTAATGTATAAATCATAATATGTAATCAAACAAGCATGATAAATAGTACAAAAGTCTAGTTGTTATAATATTTATGAAACGGAAGAAGTAACAAATAAGTAATGAGGCCCGTGGATAAAGCATTAAAGCCCAACACTAAACAAAGTCACTATACATGAAGTTCAACCTCAATCAAAACCCAAAACCCAAAACCCAAACCGATTGAATTATAGCCGCAATTCAAGTCAGCAAAACCCTAAATATTCTTCTATCATCCCCTACAAAACCCTAACCCCTCTTTTCAATTTCATCACCCCTCTAATTCTCTATCCTCTCAGCATTCCGCTCTTCTATCAAATCCCCGCTTAAATCCCCTGAATTAGGTTTCTGGTATTCATATCGACGGAAAGTTCAACAACAAATGCAAATTCGTCGGAATTTTTAGCGTCGGAAAGTTTTTCAATTGCAATATCTTCCTTTTGGTTGATAATGGTGCGTAATCTTTCAAATACCCTTCCTTTTTCTATTTAAAAAAATGTGAAAGACCCTCTTTTTTTTGTTCATTGAAATTTGTTTTTGCTAAATTTTAATTAGGGCTAAATGATGATAATTTAAAATTGAATCTTAGCGGATTTCAGTGAGATTATTAATCTATGATCTGATTGTTACACACACTGATGCCCTTTTCTATTAAATTAAATGTTTTAATTCTTATATTAACCCTAAAAATGCAGTCTTTGATTCGCAAAATGCTTTTTATTTTTTTTTATTTTGATTCGTATTTAAGCCCTAAAAATTCAATATTTGATGCGATGATGAGATAAAAACACTGGAAGTGTTAATAGGCAGTGGACAAGATCCAATTTATTGGGTTTTGCCGTGAGCTTTAAAATAAACGACTTCTCCTTCCACTGAGCTCATATATTCTATATTTATTAGTATTTGCTTTGAATTATTTTGAATTTTGAAATTAGCCAGTTTGATGTTTTGTTGCGCCCATTACCAATTCTGGGGGATAAATTCAGTTCCTCTTGGCATAATGGCTCGGGCGACAAATCAATGTCATACAATGTGGTATATCCTGATCATTGAATTTTTAATTTGTGGCACTTGATCCTGGAAACGCCACATATATTTCAATTTATCCTGTTTGTTTTTTTTTTTTGGGTGTCGTGTTTTGGTGATGACAATATTCATTGTGTTATCGAATGTTTAGTTGAATCTTGTAGTGAAGTGCCGTGATGAAGCTTAAGTGTGGACTAGAGTTTCTGATCATTTGATTGAAGACAAACCCTTGGCTGTCTGAGCACACATTACCGTAGTTACAGTTTTTGTTCGAGACAATAGGAATAACATTATTAGAGATAGAATAATTGTTTTATTTATTTCAAATTTAATGGGTTACAGTGATGAAGCTAAGTGTGGACTAGAGTTTCTGACCTATTGGTTGAAGACAAACCCTTGGCTGTCTGAGTACTCGTTACATAATCTAAACTAGTGTATTTTTGATGTGTTTGTGATTGTTTTCCGGTTGAAGTGTAGTGTTTGTATTTGGGTTATACGGTGATGAAGCTAAGTGTGGACTAGAGTTTCTGACCTTCGGGTTGAAGACAAAACCCTTGGCTGTCTGAGTAAATCCATCAGATATCAATGTTCGTGAATACGAGTATGTTTTTTTTAGTGTGAAATGTTTGTGTTTTTGTATTATGTTTATTGAGTGATTTGAGTTGATGATGATACTTTATATTATCTTAGCGGATTTCAGTGAGATCTATGATCTATGATCTGATTGTTACACACACTGAAGCTCTTATTTCTCACTGTTATTGTTGTGTTTTCTTACAATTTTTGTTTATCAATGTCTATGTATGTTGCTGTGACGATATTGGAACACGGGAGTGTTCTTTGGGCAGTGGACAGGATCTATTGGTCTTGCCGTGAGCCTTTCTATTAACGACTTCTCCTTCCACCGAGCATTTAACACGAATTTATAATTTATCAATCACATTTATGTTATTGTTAGTTTGCGTCCAAATACCAATTCCGTAGGATAAATTTTGTTCCTTATGGTGTAATGGCTCGGATGCTATATAAATTAATGTGGTTTATCCTGATCAGTGGCTTGTTTACTTGTAGTGTCATATGATCCTGGAAAGGCTTCATACATTTCTTATTTTTTGTTTGTCAATTCTTATGTTCTGTTTGTGCTGCTATGATGAATCTAAGTTTGGATAGAATTTGTCTGACCTTTTGGCTGAAGACAACACATACTTGGCTGTGGTTCTGAGCAAGCACATATAGTGATTTTTCAGTTGTTTTGAAACTTTATGGTAGCAAAATTTAAAAGTGGCTTTATTGCTTGGTGTTGAATACTCCAGAAAATGCATTTTTCTGTTTTAATTGATTAAACTAGTATGATATGCTGATAAATATTGAGGCAGAGGGGTGATGAATCTCTATAATATTGCAAACGCAGCATCCCAATATATTGGGTTGCAATGAGCGTGGCTAAACCACACGAGATTTCTGACTTCTCTTTATGTAATCAAAATCAAATCTCTTTAATGGTTTGTTTTTGTTTTGCAGGGTGTTTTTATGTTCCAAATCTTATTGTATGTATTTGAATATTTGTATTGGCTGTGTTAGTTGATGAGTTTGATCTCTGTGATGTGTGATATTTCTTCTGTTTCACAATTATCTTTCACTTTGACTGTACGCGATTGCTTGCACAATACATTGATCATAAATATCTTTTCCAAATGAATTCAGAGATGTACAGGGATTGCTTGTTTTCTGTTATGCTAGTTGGAAGCATATTTGTGCATAGGCTGTGAATGTGTATTGGTTGAGAATTGCCTGAAGAAAATGACAGATGCTGCTGAAGCTTGAAAGCGGATTTCTTTTTAATGCGGATGAGGCTCTGGTTGCTATTGAAGGATGTTCTTCATTTGTAGTTTACCATGTAATTTTATAGATTAGACTTTTGTTTGTGTTAATTTTGTAGTGTAAAATACTGTTGAGCATTTTGAAGAATTGTTACAAGCTTCAATTTCTACTACATATTAATGTAAAAACTTTGTACTCCGTATTATTCAATACAATCTCCTAATTTTTTCAATTAGCTTTTGTTGTTGGCCGTGTTTCATTAAATCAGAATGGCAACACTTTAGTCTGCAATCTGCATTGCAAGATTTGACACAGGCTTGGGGTGAAATTGGTTTGCTAATTTGGGAGGATAGTCATGCAAAGATGTACAAATTAGAGTTGTTACGGTTAGTAAATAAGAGGATTCTATATTCTTTTGGCAAACCAGACAATTTTCTATGAAGTTAAAATCTATTGACATTGCAAATTCAAGAGAAGTGCAACTTCCCTCTTGCAACCAAACATAAACGTTGATTGATACGACTATCAAATAATCTATATTGAAGTAGTGTCGCTTGATGTCAAACCATCAAAGACTTGAGATGCTACGAGCTCTGCTCCACCTCAGTGCATAGTTGCATACAACAGAGGACCAAGATTAATGGAATAAACACACGAGTTCACAATAACCTTGAGCTGATTATGGGTTAAAAAAAATGTATAGAATGCCCAATTTGCTAATATTGGGTTGGACCAAAAGACTAAGACAATTTGAAAAGTGTACTCAAGTTGGGTACGGCAATTGACCACACTTGACCAATTGTATTTTTATTTACTTTTCTTATGGAGTACTAAAAAAACAATAAAATATATTTATATGTAGATCGGTGTAATTTTTTTTAACTTTTTTTTTTGAAAGGGAATCTTTTTAAATTCTTATATGTATCTCAAATATGTATATCATTTCTCTTACTTTAATTAGGTTAAAGTTTGATTCATTAAAAATAGTTTTCAATCGATGGGCTAAACAAAACCCAGATGTACGTGTTGAATGAGAAATTTAAAAATATACTACCCTATGTCTTTGTTATGCATATGACTCTAATCAGCTTTCAAGACACCTTTACACATAATATATTTTCAAATTTAGGAGAATAATATACTATCTTCCTTGCCATACAAATTACATAAATCAAATAACATATACTTCCTCCATTCCTTAATAGATGACACGTTTCTTTTATCACGTTTGTCAACGCACAATTTTCACGAGTTATATCTCCCATTATCAACATTGTAAAATTATAAAAAGTGGATATTAATAAAATATGCATTAAGACGATTCAAACAAGATCCCACATGATTATGTTTTATCGTAGCTACAAATCACAAAAGCTAGTCAAAGTGTTGTTTGTGAATAGTGCAAAAGTCAAACTGTGTCATCTAAAAAGGAACGGAGGAAGTACGGAGTAGTAAATTTACAACTCCACTATATCCAAATTTGTCCGTACAATATACTCTCAGTGTCTCTCTAATCTCACCCAATTATCCAGTTTGTTTTCTCTTTTTATTTGGCCCATTCCCATACAACATACTTTTAATCCCACAATATTTTATTACTTTTTACGGGCACAAAATTTTATACAAGAGTGTACCAAAAACAAATTTGTCTCATTTCTTTTACCGCCGCCATCCACCATAGTTTAAAAATGTAATCACAGACTAATCTAATGGAGCAATCTTAAAGGCACGAACATGTTGGATTGCCTAAAATGTGATACGAGTAGGTCCTATATTTTGGACATACACATATTGTCCAAATTGTTATACCCAAATCGTATTATCTCAACCTTGTTCATATCAGCCATTGTGCTGCTATCCCCAGAAATTTGGCCCAAAACTCACCTTCTTCAACCTTCCTTCCTTCCCAACAAAATGAGCTCCCACGTGTAAATTTCCAACACCCAATTCACTTCCCATCTCCATAGCAATGCTATCCCTAAAACCTCCATTTCCCCCTCACTCTCTCTCTCCTACCAACAACCCCTTCTTCTCCTTCAAACCCCTCCTTAAACCCTACTTTTCCCCACCTCAAAAACCCCATTTCTCCTCCATTAAATCACTTCTTCAATACAATCGAAAACCCCAACTCGCCGGAACCACCCCTAGAGTCGTGGTCATCACCTCCGGAAAAGGCGGTGTTGGAAAAACCACCACTACTGCAAACATCGGCATCTCCCTCGCTCGCCATGGATTCTCTGTTGTCGCCATTGATGCCGATGTTGGGCTTCGAAACCTCGATCTTCTTTTGGGTCTTGAAAATCGTGTGAATTACACTGCTTTAGAGGTTCTTAATGGCGATTGTCGTCTTGATCAAGCGTTGGTTAGGGATAAGAGGTGGTCCCATTTTGAGCTTCTTTGTATTTCAAAACCCAGATCGAAATTGCCATTAGGGTTTGGTGGAAAAGCCCTAATTTGGCTTGTTGATGCCCTAAAACATAGAAATGAAGGATGCCCAGATTTTATTATAATTGATTGTCCTGCTGGAATTGATGCTGGGTTTATTACCGCAATTACGCCGGCGAACGAGGCGATTTTGGTTACGACACCGGATATTACGGCGTTGAGGGATGCTGATAGGGTTACTGGATTGTTGGAGTGTGATGGGATTAAGGATATTAAGATGATTGTTAATAGGGTTAGGACAGATATGATTCAAGGGGAAGATATGATGTCTGTTTTGGATGTTCAGGAGATGCTTGGGTTGGCGCTTTTGGGTGTAATTCCGGACGATACCGAGGTTATTCGGAGCACGAATCGAGGGTATCCTTTGGTTTTGAATAAGCCCCCGACATTGGCCGGATTGGCTTTCGAACAAGCTGCTTGGAGGCTTGTGGAACAGGATAGTATGACCGCGGTTATGGTTGAGGAGCAGCCCAAGAAACGCGGCTTCTTTTCGTTCTTTGGAGGGTGAAGTGAGTTTTGGACAATGTAGTTAAAGGGATCATGTGGAGGAGGTCAATTGTTGGAGGTTTGGGTTATGAATTTGCGCTGAGAAGTTTTGTGTACAGATGCTAGGTACGGGATTCTTTGGCTAAAAGTTTATTTTGGAATTCAATTTGCTGTCGTTTTTTTCTATGAAAGTAGCTAGATTATTGGAATGCAGCTCTGGATAATTGTATCATGAAAACTTTGTAACTTTTGTTGCATTAATTTGAATGGAATGTTGTGCATTGTTGAATCGTTTTTATTGTTTAAGTCGGAGAAGTTATACTTATTAGTTGCTTTGTTTGTATATACCTTGATTATCATCATCTGCACAATGTAGTTAGCTGCGTAATCAACTTGTATGACTTAAGGCTGTTTGATTTACATGTTTGTTGAGAATTTGAGATAGATTGATGCTCGAAAAACACTTGAGCTTTCAAGATTAGTTCTTTTTCTATTTTTTATTTTGCTTTTATGTGAGTAGAAAGAATTGGAAGCCCTCAGTTGAGGGTTAATGTAGTTACCATTTATATCGTGCATTATTTGCGCTATCGTGCTTGTGAAGTGGTATAGTTGTGTTATGCGTTCATATGCATTTGGGACTGAGATGACTTTTTACACAGTGAGAAAGGATAAGAGGCGGGACATGATCGTGAATGCCTTAATGGATGTCTCACAGTTTTTTGGTGGCATAGATACTGTAGTAGTGCTTTTGGATAATGTAGTTTTCCTGATATATTGTGACATTACCTAAGTGCCTGTTCTGAGGCTCTCTTGAGTAGGATCTTAATATACAATTGATTGATAGATTTCTGCAGCTCACCGCCGTGCTATTGTAACCTATCTTTTCTCCCTAGGTTATCGTGGATTCATCTAGTGCAGTACTGCTCCCACATTAACCTAGTACACCAATGACCTATGCAACTCACACTCTCTACTCTGGTCTTTCTATATTAGTTTCCTTTTGGTGAGTGAGTTGGGGAAACAGAGGGGAAGGGAGGGAGAGAGAGAGAGAGAGAGAGAGAGAGAGAGGGGGGGGGGGAAGTTTAAGGCTCAAGTAGTTTTCAAAATTTCAAAGCTAAGACTTTCTTTTATTTGTTTTACCGAAATTTCTGGACAACTAGAATGCTTTTTTGGATGAATGCTACTGGTATTAAACGGAGCAAGGCTTTCCTTTTTTTTTTTTTTTTTTTAAATGTTTGGGAGAATATCATTTGCTTTGAACTTCTGCATGATGTCTTAAGTTCACGTTTCTTTGCTTCTTGGGAATGATATAAGTGACTTAAGATGAGCTTGATATCATGAAGTGATTGCTAGCTTAGGCCTAACTTTTTGGTTCTTTAATAGTTGGCTTTAGATGAACTTGCTGTCATATAGTGATTATGAAGTTTCTGGGATCTTTTTGGTTTCTGGTGATGTTTCTTCTTGTTAAAAAAAAACATTTTCAAGGCAAATGGGATATCTAGAATATAGACCTGAGAGACCATGATTTTCCATAAGGGTCAAGGTCAAAATTCTGCAGTGGATAGTATCAAAACTTGAAAAATTAAAGACAAGTATACCGAGTGATAGAAGCCACCCCTTAAGCGAGTTGGTGCTTGTAGAGGAAATAAAACTTATAAAGGCCCAGCACCTCAAGCAAAAGGCAAGGTCAAAATGGATTTGGGGAAAAAAAAGGCTGTATATTGCTTTTTATAAGCTATCAAGGGAAATGTTGTCTATATAATGGTTGATGGATGGAATGTGTCACTGATAGCTGATGTAGAGTTTGCTGCTGCTGAATTTATTTTAGTGGTCAAGATCTCAGGGAACCTCTGTTTCATTATTTACCTTGCCTTTTCGTTCTGCTTCACTCTTAACCAGAACATATAAATTAAAAGATTATTTTCCAAATTCTGGATCTTGATACTCTGTATATTCTGATTAAGATTAGGATAGATCTGTTAGGATGGTACAGACATTACTTATTGGAAGATGGTATGTAGATTCTTTTGAAAGGCTATTACTGTAGAAGGAACTGTTATGCTGTGTGGAAGTGGAGGAGATAAAGCACCATTTCCTGATGGTCAAGCAATTATGTTCAAATTGAAGATCGGTGGAAGGTATAATTAAGCTCCTCTTTCATTTCTTCTATCTTTACAATTCTATTGTGTCTGGTTACTCTGGTGTGAGAAGTGTACACCAATTATATAGTCGGGAGTTTCAGTTAGTTTAATGAGGAACATTGGGTTCTGTTTGCTAATTAATTGGTGTTTCTTCCCGTAAATTCAAAAAGAGCTGCTTTGATTTATGAATTTCACTCTAAAAAGAGTTGTGTACCCTTTTTTTTTTTTTTTTTAAATAAATTTATTTTTATAATCATGGTAAGGAAACGGATGACAAGAAGCCAAGAAGGGCTGTGTACTTAAGTGTGTTTTGGATGGCTATTTTTGGATTGTGTATATTGGGGACTTGGGCAGTTATTAAAATACTGTGCCTGTGGGCAGTGCTTGGCGGATTATGCTGCTGGGTGTGAATTTTTTATGCAGATGAGAGTACGGAGTATGTCGGTATTCCAAGAGGCTGTAATCTCGGATTATGCTCTATTTCCCAGGGCTTTGTGGGTATCTATAAAATATAGAACTTCCGTTTCATTGGTAAGGGAATGATTCTCATACATGAAGTATGATTTGGCCTTTTGGGTGGCAAGCCGAGTGGGATGTTCAAGATTACTGATAAAAAGGAATAGCTCAGTGAGCCTTGAGTGGTGATGAGATATTAAGATCAGAACATAATGACTTTAATTATGCATTTGGAAGGACTTACCATGTGAACCAGTAAGTTTGTTTTACATGCTCTATATTTTGAAGTGACTTATAAAATTTGCTTCATGATGCCTTATATTGTTCCAGTAGTCAGGATTGTTTGCTAGGTGCATTGATTTGCTTCCATTAGTCTGTAAAGATGATTAGAGCCTTGTGTAAGAGAAAATTATTAAACAGAGAGGCGAACAAATGCATCTACCAACATGTCTCACAATATTATGTTTATGTTACATAATATTCTGCTCATATTTTCCTGTATTTGTTTTGTTAAAACCATTGCACGACAAACCATAGCGTCTTGGAAAAAACGAATTCACCCATGTCCTTACGAAGTTAGATCTTTGAAGATAGAAAAATAAGCTGGGATGAGAAAAATAAACAACATTGGGAAGACATCTCATGAAACACAACCCATTCCAGAATAACATGTAAATCCATTCATATCGACGTATATAAACCTATAATGTCATGCATGTTGATCCAAAAATGGAATAACTTTGATTTATCTTCTCATGAATGGATATATAATTACATTACATAAGAGAAAATGTAATTGTGCAATGAAGAAATTAATCAATCTTGCCCGTTCCAGGTCCTCTTGAAGGTTAGTAGTATTTGCTAAAGTTCCGTGCATTGTATCAACACTCTCTTCTACAAAACAAAGCCAAGCCAGTAGTATATGCAGCAAAGTGTCAATTTCCACCCAAAGTGCAGTTATCTTGTATTTTTTGACTTCCATTGTTTAATAGCCTCAAGCAGGGCCGTGTTTGGCATTATAAACTTGTGAGGAAGTGGGTGATTTGTAGAGGGCGATGTGTCATTTTCTGTCAGCCACTGCTCTATCGCCCTCCGGTCGTATGTGTATCCGTCGGCTGCCACATATGGGTCCTCCATTACATCCTGTTAGTGAAATAACAAGGATTTCTTAGCAATGAGTCAATAATCTCTAGGGTAGTTTATGACTTCCTGTTTTAATTTGCTTTTTTGACAACTTTGGTTTTGATGTTAGGTACCAAATTATGTTAAGAACTAAAAAATGTTGCATTCTGGTATCCTATAATACTGGCTTGGGATTCATAATGATCTGAGATTGTTCTGGAGTAGCTTCTATCAAGGTCAAATTCATTTCAATAGCCTAATAAATCCACTGTTGGCTACTCTATAGGGGATCCAGATGTATGCAGCCTTGCCATAAACAAAACAGACATATAGCCGATGTATGCGGACTATTCGTTCATGTAAGAACCATGAAAATAAAACTCTAAATACGTGTCTAGAATTTGTCATAAGGTGACCAGCAAAGATTGAATCGTTTAGTTCTGTCAAGTTAGGAAAGCAAATGAACTCTGACGAGAGAAAGGGATGACTGGCATACCTTAAGAATGGGGCAGATAAAGTGTACTGGTGTTGCTGTTTGGGCGTTTGAAGCTAAATCCCGGGCACTGTCAGCCACTTCATTCATTTTCTCTAGGGCAGGAAGAACCTTCTCTCTTAAATCAGGCCGATCTCTACCTCTAAGTTCAGAACACTGCAGTCCTAATAACGCCAACTCAAGTGTTTCCTTCTCTGGCCATTCCCCAGCTTCTGGATCCAAGATTTCTATCAAATTGTCTTCATCAATTGCATCCTCGACCAAATAGGATATCCCGACAGCTGGTTTTGCTGTCAGTATCTGTAGGATCACCACTCCCAAGGCATATATATCTGACTTAGTCGAAACTCTTCCAGTCCTCTGATACTCGGGATCAATGTAGCAAAGGGTACCAACTGGGCTAGTTTCCTTGTATATGGTTTTCAGGGACATATCGGATGGCTCTACATTGATCATTGTACCTAGACCAGCATCACCAATCTTGCTTACTAAGTTGTGGTCAAGCAAGATGTTTGCTGGTTTCAGGTCCCTGTGAATAATAGGTCTTGGCTTCGTGCTGTGAAGAAAGGCAAGAGCCCCTGCCACCTCATAGCAGATTCTGAACCTTTCATACCAAGGTAGAGGAGGTTTGCCATTCTTATGAAATAATACATCATCAAGGCTACCATAGTCCATGTACTCATATACAAGGGAACTCTCTTCTGGAACAGCTCCAAGGAGCAGCAGCAGGTGAGGATGACGAATTGTGCTCAAGATTTCCAGCTGTTAAACCATCAATAGTAAATTAAGCATCAGTATGTGATCTACATCTACTCTCTCTGTTTCATATCATCTAACTGTTATGTCTTTCATCTTATATAACCTTTTGTATAAATAAATTCTTGCACTATTATTTGTTGGTTTATTTCAAATGCACTATTATGTGTCAGATTTACTTTTATTTCTTATATCCTGTGCATAACTTAAATGACATTGGCTGTGGAATGGAGTAAATCTTGGTTCTTGGAGACCCTTAGATTTTCTTCATGCGCATGTCTTCACTTACATCAAAAAGTGAAATTATAAAGGACTGACCGAGAGTTGTTTGCGTATGGATGCAACTGAATCAACTTGAATTTTTTTATTGGGTATTATGTTTATGTTGGAATAGGGAGGAGTTGCATTAGTATTGTCAGAAAAACATATAATTTCTCTGCTAAGATTCTGAATTCTCATACCTCCTGAACGAATTGCTTGTTTGTGACACTATCTTTGGAGTGGAGGACCTTTACTGCCACAGTAGTGTGGTGCAACTTGCACTTGTAGACAATCCCAAATGCACCTGCCCCTATTTTAAACTCCTCTGACAAGGACGAAGTGGCTTCCACAATCTCTTCCCACGTAAACTTCTGATACTGAACAGCTGGACTTGCAAACAGCTCTTTGAGCCTGTTCTTGCTTTCCTCCTCTTGAGCAGCCTTACTGTCAGATCTGTTCTTGAGTTTATTTCTTTCAGCTTTTACCCCTGTATCTATAGTTGCAAATTGTGCTGCTTTGGTTTTGTTCTTCTCAATACTAGCGACCTCTTTACATTTTTCCTCCTTTAGTTTTAGTGCTTCCTCCAATCGCTCCTTGCTCATTTCTTGGAGCTGATCAAGTGGAAATTGGAACTACAAAGGTGAAATTACATAAGCAGGACATGGTGAATATATCATGGAAGTTCCTTATATCTAATGACATGAAGTTAGTGTAGCTTGTATATCATCTTCGAGCAAGCATTTTGAGATGTTCACATTAATCTGTTAGGATGGTTTGTTTTTATTTTTGTAAAGAAAAACTTAGGAGAGCTACTGTGTCTTGTAAATGTCAATTTTAAGTTTATGCCAGAAGTTGAAGTACACTGAAGTGAAAATCTTTCAAGTGTTTGGTTGTGGACTTGTGAAAAACAAAGGAAGCACAAGTTCCTTGGAAGTGTATATCCCATTTGATAGGAAATTGGCTACCTAGCTTCGGTCAGATAAGTTGAACAAGAAAATTCCCGTGTCTAACCAAACAGATTTTCATTTTTTCCTTGGAAATTATACCTTCATCGGAAGTGACACTTCTAACTTTCTTGTGGGAACTAGCGTTGAAATCTTAGTTCATCAGGTTCAGGTATTAGATGATGAATAGATTAAGAAATTAGAAACAAGAAACAATTATCAAGGGAGATATGCTTAAACCAACAAACTAGATAAAAGACTAAAAGATTTATGTTACATTTTGAAACAAAGGGAGTGTTTGAAATTATTTGGCGTTGAATAAGAGCTTACCCGTTCATCAATAGAACTATTCTGAGTCAGTTCATACATTTTTTGAATATGCCTTAGTTCAATCCTCAGCTTTTCAAGTTCAGACATCTGCGTACCAGGTTATAAGAAATCCATCATAGTAGCTAGTTAATCAATTATAGATAATTGATCAGTCATGAGATTACCTGGTTTGGAGAAGCACTTTGTTCAGAACCTGACGATATACCTGAAAAAGAAACTGAGGATAGAGTACCAGCACAAGGGACTGGATGAGTGTCCACATAAGAACGTCCTGGTGGAGTCCCTGGGCGAGAGAGTGCTAGAGGTGTGCCTGCATAAGAACCTGTGGGTGGAGTACCAGCATAAGGGACTGCATGAGTGTCCACATAAGCACCTCCTGGTGGAGTCCCTGGACGAGAGAGTGCTAGAGGTGTGCCTGCATAGGGAGTTCCTACAGGAGAGACCATAGGGGGAGTGCCCTTATAAAAACCTGTCGGGGGTGTTTCTGCATAAGAGACTGCAGGAGAATTTCCAACAAAAGAACCAGTAGATGGAGTGTAAAGAAAAGATCTCGGGGATGGAGTGCCTGTAGGTGACTGGGCATTAGGTTGGATCCCTGCGAATGAACTTCCAGGAGATGTTCGATCAGAGGCCCATGATCCAGAGTCTCCACTGCTGGAACTGTGACTCTGAATACTGGCATTCCCAACATTTGAGTTAGTATCCTTAAAAAAATAATGCTTGAGTTCTGTTGTTTCTCTTGCTAAAACTTTAGGTCCAGCAGCATTTCTTGGGAGATATTCGTGCTGTTTAGGTTGGGAAACAGAGGTGGAAGATTCTGAAGCGGGAGGGCCACTAGCAAAGCTTCCGTCTGTCAAAGTTGTCTGTATTAGATAACTTAGAGCAGGTGTGACATAATATTGTGTTTAAATAGACAGGCAGCTCGTAAAAACTCACATCTTGGTGATGAAGGCCTGCTTTTCAATAGACGGCCTGCAGCATAACAAACGCTTAAGATTCAAAAACATGTGATTGTCTATTTGGAAAAAAAAAATGCAATCATAGTAATGAACTTGTACATATCCTACTCATGTCAAAAAGAAGTTTATTTCCAAACTATCCTTGTTAATTAACCAAAAGTTGTAGTGACAGTAGGAGATAGCAAAGTAGAAACTATGACAGTCAGAGTTGGATGGAATGTGTAATATGGTTTCTCTTCACTAACTTTTAGGTTGTGTTCTCTTCACATCAATGTCCTTAGTTTTTTGGAATACTCGGATGATTCCAGAAAAAGTGTAGTAAATTGTTTCACAACTTCAGAAAATCTTTAATAGATGAGTTCCTAAAATATCTATCTTTTATTCTATTGTCTGCAGATATACCTATTGTAAGTGAAGAAGAGCTAGAAGAACTATCAGTCGACGTGCCTGACAGATTACTTGTCGATGTGCTTGACAGATTACTTGTTTCATCCATGTGTATCACATTCTGTTCAGAATCTGCAGGACGTATTTGCTGAAGCTTTCCATCACCAATGACATAGACTGAACAAAAACCAGGAACATTTTCTGAGATGACTTGTGATAGGTCATCTCCCCTGATCAGTGTCAGATTTTTCCTACAATAAAATTGATTTTCTGAATGAGCTTATTATTCATGGAATTAAGATGTGAAAATATCAATGAATCATGTAAGATACTTTCTCACTATCTGGTTATTAGTATTTAGTACATTGAAAAGATGCTTGTTGATGTAACTCCGATGACAAGATGTCTTATTGCTTTTCTAGTGATCTCCAATGAGAGTGCCATTGCAATATCATCTGACTCAAGTACTACAATTTCTGATTTTACCTGCATTTAGCATAATAAGCTTGTAGGTGATGACAGCATAATAATTTTTGTTAACTGAAATAACATATGAAGCGGAATATAGTAAGAAAAAAAAAAAGAAAAAAAATTGTTGTAATCAGCAAATCAGTTTATATACAAAATACTTGCATCATGAATCAGTAAAGATCAGTTAGTACATACAGACGATACAGTTTCAGTTTTAGTAAAAATCGCGTTAACAGAATAAGGATATACACTCTCCAGTAATATTACTCTTCTATATAAGTTGTAGGAAGGGGAAAAAAAAACCTTTTGTGCTTTCAGTATTTTGTGGTATGGGAGAATTTTCCTCTGTTTCTTCCACTCAATTTCCTGCCTATAACCATTTACAACTTCTTCTCGAACTTGTGATACTGGTAGCCAGGTTCCCACTGAAAACAATACTCAGAAAATTAGTCAGCAGGTGTAATATATCTGTAATCTGCATCATTTTATTTAGAAAAAGAAAGCCTTAGTATATTTGGAATTGTTTTTCAGATGTTTATCTCTAAGGACTTTTACAGTTTACTCACTTGGTGTAGGTACTAAAGTTATTTTTGGGTACACGTATATGAGCTTGAAGGTGACATCTCCCTCTGGAAGGAATTTGTCGAGTGCCCACTTCAGAATATACTTGCTTTTTCGGCTTCCAGTCAGCGCGACTGCAACAAGAAGTTGTTCTTGATCAGCAGCTTTCCTTTCTGCCATTTCTTGACAATAAGCAGCAAATGACTCTGCAATAACATGGTAAATCAACAAAGTTATTTGTTTTATCTACATTGAAAATCAAATGCATGCTATGATATTGTTATCAGTTTTCATGTTTTGGTTTGTAGCTTTTGAATGTTGATTTCCTCCTATCATGTGGGAAGAAATCCATTTCCATACCATGTAACTTGTGGAACATATGACTAGTGTATGTATCTATCAATTTTCGCCTTCTTGCGTATTAAAACAAATCCAACAACCAGCTTCTCCTATGGACTATGGTGCAATTTTTATCGAACAAACCTCTTACCTCTGGGCATGTCAGTGGGTTGTGTCGCGGCCTCAGGCTAGCCCTTGGCTGCTCTGCCAAATCAGCCATCCTAGGGGCCTAACCCAGGGCATGGCCATATGCCATGTCATATCAGCCCATGTTCAATACTTAAGTGTTTCATGATGCATTTTATAAATAGTTTGACCATGCCGCACCATGGGCCACCTGTGCTAGCAGCCTAGGCATTGGCAGAGGCAGCCTTGTTCCGGTACAACCCACGGCATCCTTATCAAAATGACAATAACCAACCAGTTGGGAAGAAAAATCCATGAATTGGATGATATAAAGCAAGTCAAGTTTCATATACATCAAAATGCAGGCAACAGAAAAGTTGGTTAAAATCCAGAAAACTTACCAATTTCTGGAGTCCAACTATGTTTGATATCTGCAAAATCAAACAATGTATATCTATTTCTCTGTACTCTGAATACTAATTAAGGAAAAATAGATTATCTCTTCTAAAACAAAAGAAAAACTCATGTCTCATGCCATTGAATTAGAACAAAAGGGACCCACCTTTGCACGTCTCTGTGTTTTGTTGGTAACATTACAAATGCTGGAGCATTCAAGGAAGTAGCTAGTGTTTGATTAACGACTCGTTCATTATGTGATATTTTTATTATTGCTTACTTTGACTAGCCTTGCCGCCTTCTATATGTAAAAGCTTTGCTAGGGGTCATTAGATGCTTGGGGTGCTACGTAATATGTTGACGGATTTGATCTTGGATTCTCAATTGTTTGAATAGCGTTCGAATTTAATTAATTTAAATCTAATGTCGAGAAATAAATTGTCACCTTTTCTAATACTTAAAGTATTGCATAAATTACCTGATTAACAAGAATTTACATTTTCCTTCCTTTTGAAATCAATACGGAGTACATTTTAATTGAATGGCTAGAAAAAAGCTATCTGATTTTTTAATATATTTACCTAGAATTGTTGTTACTCCGTATTTTTTTTAGCTTACAAATATAATGTCAAAGAAATTTTGAAGTACGAAGTACTCTGTATATATCAATAATAAGTTAGTTGCTTCACTACTATGGAGTTTTTATTTATTTATTTTTTTTTTTTTTTTAAGGAACTGCTTTGACTTGAGGGTCCTAAAGAACTGGGGGAGAGGTGACATTAAAAAAAAAGGGACAACGATCAAGTGCATATTCGATGTAGTTGCATGCACGTTCGTTATATTAATAAAACCTCAAAGAAGTGGACAGGATGTTTGAGGTTGTCAAAGTGTCAAACTTGAGGGAGCAGGACCATGCGTCTTACTTCATTCTCTTGGACAACTTTTAAAAAAAATTCAAGCTTGATACGAGATTACGAGCCCATGTATTTCCCGACGTATAAACTTTGCTTCACCGGAAAAAATAAACACATTTATCGACGGTCACAAATGGACAGTAAAAAAAAAACCATTAAGGACCTCAACATGGCCATTTGAAAATCCGACCACAAGACCGAAACATACCAAGTTATGCTTGATCTTGGGAGGTGATGAATAATGTTCTTCATCACATCTTAAAATGCAATTAAATTAAGTTATTAACTACTTGTATATGTCTACACCTGCATTGTAGTCTAATTCCCAATTGCAGCATGCCAGCGTAGCATAACTATTTATCTTTAATGTCTTACTAACCTGCTATCTTCTCATTATGTTATTTGCATCTTATTAATTTGGGTTTATATTAGGCTTTTGATGGCCTTCTACATCCTAAGTCTTGATTTTTCATCAAGTAAAGCCCCATAAATCTTCGGACCATGCAACCTTTCAACCCATCTAAAGAAGCTCATATTTTGGTGGGCTTAGAAAGGATTCTTACCGGTTGGTCTATTATGAAAGGATACGGTCCATATGGCTTGGATGCAAATATAATATTTCTTCCGTTTCTTTTATTTGCAACACACCCTTATATAGCACACACTTTGAGGAAGAGCTTTGACAATGTTTAAAAAAAAAAAAAAAAAAAATTGTATGTGTGTGCATAACTCTTCCTTATCCTTGGTACTATGGTTATATTGATAAAGGTGTTCGTTTACATACTCTACTGACCTCCTAAAAATGTGTGCCTAAAGATTGTGTTGCAAATAAAAGAAAACGAAAGAGGTATATACTTTGAATATATATATCTTTGGACCATGCATTATTTCTAATCTGTTAGTCCATCTGATGCCTGTTTTATTTTGGAACGCTTGTTGATGCATTTATTTAACCGTAAATATCTTATGCATTTTAGAAAAATTATATAAGTAATTATTAATAAGGTACAATTGAAATAAATCTGACAAAATCTCACATAACTATATTGTACATTACATATAAATCACGAAAGAGAGTCAATGTAGTTTGTGTAAATAGTGTAAAAAGTTAATTGAATCATCTAAAAAAACGAAAGAAGTATGTTTTAGGTGCAAAGTCTAAAAGAAAAATGAGGAATGTTAAAAAAATCCACCAGAATCAACCGAGGAAAACCCTTCAAATACTAAAGTCAGTACGACAGTACATAGTCAAGAGTAAGTATCGTAGAGAGGACCAGAGGGGAGAGTATTTATAGTGAGAAGTGAGAGTAAGTACCAAATGTCACGCCAAGACCCAATGGGGGCACACCGTGCGTGGGTGTGACTTTACTCATGTATATAGACAATAGACTTACTTTGTAGCATGCACAGCTAACTTACGCGAATGTCTCCATGTGTATGGTGTGTAGATGATTGCATCGGGCTTCTTTACATTAGTGTCTTAGATCTGTTTAATCTTTCTCATTCTCGTGTATGGATTTGCAAACCAATCAAGCTGAAGGGCCTAAATGATCCTCGATTAAGTAAATATATAAGTGTTTCATCTTAAAAGAATCACTCGAGAAATAACAGTACTTTGGCATACGACAACTAAAAGATTTAGAGTTATTAAATCCAGGGAATCATAGTCAAGTTCCTAAAATCGTGGCAAAAATGTAGAGTTTGTTAGGATATAGAAAAGTAGTTAGATAATTGTTTTGTAATTTAAATTTTTTGTCTTTTCTTCCACTATAAAAATATAAAAACAATTGGAAACGTCAATCCACGCACTATGGAACATTATGGTTCAAAAATAACATCAAAGCCGATAGCGTCCAATTAGAAGGAAATTACGTCGGCAGTCAACATATAATAATGGTAACTCTATATTTAATATTGGTCTTTGGTAATAATGTTAGGCACAATTATGCTAATTTATTTATTAGGAAATTCTATGTTATGTCCTTGTACTATTGCGTTTTTCAAGTTGTGTCCAGTGTTTTTTAAGAGTCTATATAGTATTCCTGTAGTACAGTTAGTAACCACACTGTAACCTTGCCCATGTCACTTAACTGATGGAAGTTAACTCCGTTAACGGTCTTTCCTCTTCTTCTGTTAGTAACCACCAGTTGGGGTTCGCCGGAAATGACAGAAGAAGATGAAAGGCCGTTAACGGAGTTAACTTCCGCTAGTTAAGTGACATGGGCAGGGTTACAGTGTGATTAATAATTGTACCACAGGAATACAGTGTAGACTTTTCAAAAACACTAAACATAATTTGAAAAACGCAATAGTAAAAGGGCATAACGTAAAATTTCCCTTATTTATTAGTACAAAGGCCAACCCAATCGTGGTCATCCATATTAGCGAATGCCGCATATGGATGAGTTAGTTGTTTTTGTTTTGTTATCTTCCTATATATGATGATTTGTTAAATCAACTAACCAATCTCCAAATTTTATCATTTTTTATATACAATATATTACAGATATCTTATTCGATCTTTGTTACTCATCAATCACATAGTTAAGTTTTAAACTTAGCTTGTGCTCTGTTCTTTTGGATTAAATTATCTAAATTAAATTGAATTAACTAAATTGAGTTGATTTCAAGTATTGAACTTGTTTCGGGTGAAAACAATGGGACCTTGTCGAAGGTCCGATGAGGTGGAGAAGACTGGATCCGGTCCAAGTGATGTTGGGCCGAAGGTTTTCTGCACAGTAAACACACGTAAACTAGCCTCGGGGGTGTTGCCGAGGAAGGCCCCTCCGATGCTAAAGTCAGTACAGTGTGTAGAAAGAGAACACTATGCAAGAGAATTAATTGCTTGAGGCTTTGTTGAATGAATGTACAAATGTAATATTGATGGCTTTTATACCTTTGCATATATGGAGAAGTTGGGCCATAGCCCAATTGGCTTGCCTTGAGGACTGATCTTTGACTTTAGCACAATTGGAGAGTTGAACCTTGACCTTGGGCTTTTAATTGGATCATTTAGTGACTAGGCCCAATTGGACTAAATTGGACCCAAACAACTTGCCCCCCAGACCCGATTTGGAAGGATGACGGGTCAGGTTTGATTTAATCAGAAAAGGAGGGAAGTGAATGATTTAATTAATCCAAAAACTTGAATTTAAACCGTAATTAAACCGTAATTAATGAGATAACAACAGTTAAGGCGAATAATTGTGGAAGTTGGACGGATAATGGGCGGTTTAATCGCAAGGTCGTGTGTTTAACGGTTACTTAGTGGGGTATTTAAGAGAAATTGAAACGCGGACTCCCCGTATTCCCATTTCTGGAGGTATAATTAGAGGCATGTCATCTCTCCTCACTTATTCACAAACACAAACCCAGAATTCTCGAGAGAACCCAAGAACCCGCATCAAAACTTCGCAAATTCCCCGAGCATTAAGCTTAGAAACTGAGACTCGTCACTACCAATTCGTAAATCGGCAACTTTCGCTTCAGATTAAGGTAAATTCCTTTGATTTTAGTTTATTTTTCTTCGAATTTGAACTCCTTCCCCTTTTTTCGACTTTTTCTTCGAAATTCGTCAATGGTGAGAGGAGTTAGAGGTAGAGCCCGTGCTCCAAGAAGAGCAAGGCCAATTCCCGATCCCAGGAACAGGATTGGGACCTGGAATGGACAGAGAGCAGAGCCTGACCCTGCTGAAGGGATTAGGGCGACTCCCATTTCTTCGGCTCCTCCTCAGAGAACGGAGGGGCCGAGCGCTTCTGGGTGGGACGATGAAGTTCCCGCTGTCCTTTGGGATATCCTTCCCGGGTTTTCGGAGTGGGAGG